GGACTCTAAGGAGGAGGCACTCCAAAAACTACTAAACCAAAAGTTCCTTTCAGAACAAGCATTTATGCATCTAGCTATGCATTTAGGGAGAACACATACATGTTAGGGACTTCAACGAGCATGAAATTAAAATATCAGTTAACTTGGATGCAAAAAAAAATGAAATTCGTGCATAGTTTCTTCAGAATATGCAATTTCATCAATTTTTTGGAACCCCCTTCCTATGAACCGTAACTCAACAATGACAGTATTGTGAGTGGAATCTTTGGCACATAAGCCAGGCCCTCCCACTTCCCCTCAAGGCTGTTGTCCCTCCTTGTAAGGTTGGGGCCCCTGTACAAATAGCAAAGGGTTCCCCTGAGTTGAGAGCCATGTCCAGATCTGTTTCCAATCTATACAATCAACAGAACAATCTTATCTTTCCTCTGGCCCTGCAGACTCTGCAGTCACCATGGAAACCACTGGCTCTCCCCATATCCCGAAGAGTCTCCCTCCGGAGAGCTGTGAACCTCAGCTTTGTCTCCCTGCCTAAGGCGGAGGCAGGGCCTCGCTGTTGCTGCAAGCCTCCCTGTTATAGTCTCCACACCTGTTTGTGGAATCCAAATCTGCTTGCCATTCTCCTGCCTGAAATTCGGAGTTCCTCATCCCTGTAAGATCAAGTCCAGGACTTTAGTCTAGACCCCAGGGTCATTCCCAGATCAGCCTCTGCCTTCTTTTCAATTCCAATTTGTTCCCTGGTGCCCTCTGGTTACTGGGCATGTGCTAGAAGCCAGAGACAGCGTATCAAAAGCTGTCAGGCTTGGTGTAGAGAGAGGTGAGTAAGCACACAACTGTTGTCATGTGATGAGTTTAGTAGAAACCTAGGGGACTCTTAAACAGTGATTAACTCCTATAAATAGTCAGTGCAGAGCCAAGCTGCAGTTAAATCTTCTCCTTCAGGGCTTGTCCTGTGGCTCAGCAGACCTGGCCACAAAATTTCTATCTTGTCCAATAGAAATATAACAGAACAAGAAGGCACAAGATGAACTATGATTAACACACAAAGTAAATATGAAAAAGCAAAACCCATAAAAGCTACTACAGGAACACTAAATTATAGTGCAATAAAAACATAAATGCCACACTTTTATTAGATACATGAAGTACTTCACACACCTAAGCACAGTCCTAACTCCAGTCTGTGACTCACCTGTAACACAGAAAAACCAAGATAGCTTCTGACCAGGGGCAAAATGGCACTCAAGCTCTTCTCCCAATGTTTAATTTAAAAATCACAAAAAATTACTCTTTATAAATCTAATGGATAAAAAATATTCATGAATAAAATGCACATCTTGAAAAACATGAATTTATTTCAAGGAGTCAATAACCTACATTGACAATCCATGAAATTATGCTGAAAGAATTCCAAAGAGGATATTGGGAGGATGTCATGCCAAAATCAAGGCAGAGCGAACAGCAGAGGCACAGGAGATGGTAAGAGATTTCTATAATGCTCTCTGTCCTCAGGGGACAGCATAGCTCTCAATCCAACAAAGATATTGTCTAGGTTTATGAGACTAAGTTTTTGAACTACGGGCTGTGAACAGGTCAAGAAAGCAATTTAGTGGTGCATGGTACTCAATTTTTTTCTTTAATGAAAGAGGATACAACTTGATAGAAAGCACCAGGTGGAATTTAATGCAGCAATAAAAGTACTGTATTATATGTAGAATTTTGTATACCTATGTGTACTTGTTAGCAATGTATTATGCATTTTATATGATGGGCTACAGTCACAAATATTTGCAAAGCATTCTAACAGAAGATTTTCATTAGAAAGGGCTTTATTTTTTGATGCATATGAAACACATTCAGTTTGGAATATTGGCCCTTTTCCTCGTTCTTGGAATCTGTGCTAAAATTAAACAGACTATGCAGGGGAGGCTAACATATTGGAACTGGAAGGAGGATGCATATTAGGAGAATCTGAATGGCTGAACACTGCTAACAAGAGACCTGGGTGCATAAAAATGCAACAGATAAGCTCTGGGCTCTTATAATGCCTCCTGCTTAGATTAACTAGAAGTCCTTGGATGTTTTCCTTTGTGGCTGGAGCACAGGAGTAGCTACTCAATAATGCTCATCCTATGATCCATCATTAACAGGTGGATGCTCTCTAGAGTAACACTTGTCAGAGTGAGGCTCGTCTTCCTAAGGTCAGTCTCCTCTACTTGTTGCACCTTCTTAAAAAGCTGTGCTTATGTTTGGTATTCTATTGCATCCCCACCCTGCCTTCAGAGTAGCTATTCAGTAAACATTTAAAGGCCATCAAAGGACAATAAAGATCTAATGCTACTGCCCAACTGATGCTGGAACCCTTTTTCAAGAAAAAACATTGATGCCAGTTCACTGACCCACAAATATTTTCAACAAAAATACTCAAAGCCTATGTTTACAGGAACAAATGACCTGGAATCTCTTATACCTCTTGGTCCAGAGGTCAGATTGACTCATAAGACTCACTTTTCCATAGAATAACAACCACTTGAACTATGGTTGTTTTCTCATAACCCTAAGCCCAAACAACTTTTTAGACCCTCAGCTATATTCTAGGGATAAAACAGGGATATGATTTCAAAATTTGGACAACTAGAAGGCAACAACCAGTTCGAATCCAAAGCTTCTGGGCTATTCCAAGATCCCATCTCCACTTCACTTACTGGTGGAGGAAGGACACCCAGAAGGGTGGGAGGCAGGAGGCTAGATCTGGAGAAGTGGTCTGGCCAAGTGAATCAACAGAGAAGTGAGTCTTGGCTGACTGCCATTAGATTAGGCAGAGAGGGCAACAAGAAGGAGCCAGGGTGTAATTGCTTTCCTCATCCCTCTCCAACTCTTTCCTACTTCAGTGCCCAATCTGCCACTCGAACCAACTCCTAAGAGTGCAGCTGGCTGGAGCAAGACAATGAAGATGCACCAAGCATAGATAGGAATGGAAGATGGTGCTCATTACTAGACTAGTTTCCTTGGAAAAGCATCTGATGGAAGACACCCTAGTGCCAAGGTTAATTCTGATCCAAAGGATTGCTGCTCACCAGTCCTTGGTGACTCTTCTCATCAAAATACTCTAACAGTCTTGACCAATAGAAGCCCTCTTTATTAAGGACACAAATGAGTACTGAAGGTAGACCAACACTCCTTTTTTTTTCTTCACATACATCAGAGCAGTTTCTTTAACCTCCATGTGTCCTTCCTCACACAGTCGAATCTCACTTTTCAGAAACAAGGCCATAAGGACTGAGTAACAGGCCTGCAGGGGTCGGCGGCCACTACAGAAAGCAGAACACTTGTTTTAGCTAACAGCTCCACCTCTACCTCTCCCGCAATCTCTACCCCCATCTCTGTCTGACCATCTGTCAGCTCACAGTGCAGGAATACAAATTACTCTCATGTTAACCTGAGAAAAAATGTAATCAAGCAGGTGAGTTGCCTTGGGACCAGAGAAGCCAGAAGGAAGCTGGATAAAAGTTTATTCTGATGTCAAGTAGGAACAGATTATGGATTTCTTCCTTGTTTAAACGTCTTTCTGTGTTGTTACATAACTTGAGTATATCAATCTTATTTCTAGTCTAACTTCATGTGTGTCTCGGTTTTCTAAGAAATCATAGCACATGTCTATACTACCCAGTAGTGCCTGACAACTTCAACGGCTGCCATACCGCAATCACACTTGTCAGGATTGTGGAAGTGCAACATGGATGGGAGGAAAGCTTTCATAGGCAGGGAGATTCCAGATTTCAGACTCCAAGGAGCTCTTCAGCCATGATTAAATTTCCTGAATCTATCTGAACTTGGATTATCCCAAGGTCAAACTGTGGATGACAAACTTGTCTAATAGGGATACTATGGGCAAGAAAAGAGAATTTGTGGGTAAAATGCTTGGCAAGGTTTACATGACTATCATGGTGACTATTATTATTACTATGAGCATGGTTTGCTCCCATGAAGACAGGTCTCAATGAAGAGCAACTCTAGTGGCCTGAGAAAATCAGATCAATTTCTCCAAAGTCTCTGATACTCAATGTCCCACAAACCAAAACATCCCTTCATGGCAACTTCCACCTCCTCCTCCCATATTCACTGTTACTGTGCGTGCTGAACGAATTTCCCTTATGAAATGAGAGAGTCTATTGTTCTCACTGACTCCTCCTCCACCCTTCTTAGCAAATCCAGCACCAGGTTCTATTGTTCTACTTTTTAAATATCTTAACTCCATCTGCCTGCTATAACATCAATTCAGGCCACCATTAACCAGCCCCTAGAAAAGATGTTCCCAACCTGCCGCCCCTCCCTCAGGCTCTCCCTCTGCAATCCACCCTCCCAGTTGCAGCTACAGTCATAATTCCATAGCACAAACATGATCATGCCTCTCCTTTACTTCCAACAATTCCTCTTGTCCCCCCAAATGTAACCTAAGTCATGGGGCTGCTATGGATTCCTGACGCTCAGCTGTATCCTTGTCCTCCATGCTGCAGCCATAGTGTACAACTTGTAGCTCATCAATGAATCACGTCTCCTTCCCTTTGCAGGGATCACATATACGGCTTCTCCTTTCTCAGAATATGCCTTTATATCTCTTCTTTGCCGGCTATCTCATTCTCATATTTTAGGTGTCAACTTTGGTGCTACTTCCTCGAAGAAGTCTTCCCACCTGAGAACTGGGCTAAAAGCCTCTCCTGTTCTGTATGCAAATATTTATGTATTTATCTCCCCCACTGGACTAAGAGCCATCTGAAGATAACATCCATTTTGTTGTTATTGTCATCACTATTGTCATCTTGAGACATCCCTCAAATAGCAGTTAACACAAAACAGACATTCAAATATTTGTTTACTGAATAGATGAAGCAACTGTCCCTGCCTGGTATGAGGAATTTCTGGTTAAAGGTGGCAGTGACAGTGAACTGCCCAATAGCTAAGCCGACCCCAAGTACAGTCTCTGCAGCATTGGCAGCACCTACCTAGGATGGCCACCACTTCGTCATCCTGGATCACCTCCAGGGAGCCAGAGACCACAAAACAGAGGCTGTCGACACTCTCTCCTGCATGGTAGATGAGGTCCCCTGGGGCACAGTGCACCGTCTGGAACTCCATGGCAAGGGCCCGCAAGCAGCCATCGCTGGCCAGTCGGAAGGCCGGGTGCTCCTTGAACACCTTGCGGTTCAGGTGCACACAGATGTCAGCTCTCATGTCCTTGGGGCAGATCTGCAGAACCTGGCCAAGCACAAGAAGAGACAGCATGAGGATTTTCACTGTGACCCCAGCCCAATGCCCTCAGCCTCCCGGGGGCAGATGTAACACCTGGGAAGCCAGACAGACTGAATTCTTCAAGTCAATGCCCCTACCTGCCTGGAGCATTCCACAGAAGAGAGAAAAGGGTCTGAAACAGTCCAACCTAAATGCTTAGGCCAAGGAACTCAGAATTGGAGCTGGAAGTTTGTGGAATACCTCCAGACAAGTGGCCAGGGAATGCCTCACTGAGAAGGTGACCTGCAAGCTGACTCCTGCCCAATGAACCAGAGTGAAAGGGTGTCATTACAATAGCAAAGTACACATACAGGCTCTGAGGGGCAGAATGGATGAGGCTCAGAGAGGAAGCCAAGCACCAGAGACATTCAGGGTATGAGGGGCCTTTGGTTTGATTCTGATCATGACAGGGACATACTGGACAACTTTTGTCAACAGGGAATAGTATGAGCTGATGGATATTAAGAGCAACAGCCAAAGAGTGGCTCACACAGCTCTGACTGCAGCATGGCAAGAACAGAGCAAGGAGCCCAGCAGGTTCTTCCCACACTCATCCAGGTAAGGCAAGAAAGGCACTCTGGATACTGGCCTTTGAGAAGGGGCCAAATGCAGAGTGAATGAAAGAATTTTGACTGATACATAGCAGGAGTCTATTTATAGGATGCAGCATTTTGATGTATGCATGATACCTGTGTGACTATCAAATCAGGGGCATCAGCATGTCTATCACCCAAAACAGTTATCAATTCCTTGTGTTGGGGACATTCAAAGGCTCTCTTCTGTACAACTGACAGATTAGACAAGTAAATTCATTACCTAGGAGAAATAACATCTAGTGCCATGTTGTGCTGTGTGGTGACTGCAAGCTAGAGAGTGTATTTTGATGACATGATCCATTGATGGACAGAATATGGAACATAGGATATAGAAACAATTTTCCTGAGCACTTGCTGTGTGCTAGGTACTCCTAAGCACTTTAAAATCCTTTTCTCAATTAATCCTAAAGTACAGAACAATTTATGCCATATAAGGCATTATTCTAGGACCTGAAGATGTTGTGTTGAAAAATTTTCTGTCCTTAAATAACTGACCACCTAGCACAGAAAGAATAGGAGGAGGGTTTCAGCACAGAGTTAAGATTCCCCCCAACCCCCGCACCCATATTGAGGTATCTGGCTTCAAATCCTGCTTCTTTTCTTGATTCTTTCTTGTCTCTTGGGAGATAGCAAGTAATAGTTTAACTAGTTGGTCCCCTACCAACCACGTGAGAGATCCAGATGGAATTCCTGGCTCCTGGCTTCAGCCCGGCTCAGTCTCAGCTGTTGTGGGTATTTAGGGAGCGACTGACCAGCAGATAGGAGACCTGTATCTGCTCCTTTCTGTATTTCAAGTAAAAATTAATTTTAAATAAGAATAACCAAGACTTAGTGCTGTTGAAGAAAAATAATAAGGAAGAAAAGGCGGCTATAGAAGGACCACAATTTGAGCATTTTAAAAACTCAAACCTGGCTAAGCTTGCCAAGTTGCCACGTAGAAAACAGCAAAGCTGGGATCTCACAGTATGGAGCTTGACTCAGAGCCTCGGTTAGATTCCAGCCAAAACAAATAGGCTTGTAATTTGACTGGCATCACCTTCCTAAGTAAAATAGGAACTCTGAAAGGCCACAGGTGTCTCATCTTCTGAAAAAGTGAGAAGCTTGTGGGATAATGGTTTAAGCCATCACTTGTATAGCTTGCATTCATATCTCATGTCAGAGTGCTTGTTTAAGACCCTTTCTTTTTCACTTTTGATCCAGCCCTCTACTATGTACCTGGGAAGCAACAGATGATGGCCAAGTACTTGGACCCCTATTGCTCATGTGGAAGACCTGGATGGAGTCCCAAGCTCTTGGCTTCAGCCTGGCCTAGCCCTGGCCCGAGAGTTTGTGGGCATTTGAAGAGTGAGCCAGATACAAAAAGTGTGTGCATGTACTTCCTATCACTCTACATTTCATGAAAATAAACACATTATTTAAAATAAAAATCAAGGGTCCTGCATAAATGCACATAAAATTTGGGTTTACTGTTTGTAGGCAGATATTCAGGGAGCGCCTAGCAGTTGGGAACCAAGATTTATTCTCCAGGTGAGTTCACCTTTAAAAACGTTTGGTTTTCCTTGGGTTGGGCTTTTGCTGCGAGTGATTGAGGCCTGGCACAAACACAATGTTTTATTCATGGCATTGCCCCTAGAGCTGACTGATGGTGCTGTGTGAGGCAGCCAGGATATTGGGAGTGGACAAACCACACACTGTCATGGCCATCGGTCATTTCCACCTACTGGCTCCACTCTGGGGTGGGTGGGTTACTCAGACTAAAGGAGGAAGGAGCTCAGCTCTGCAAACCCCCTGCTTTTCTGCGTCACCTTCCCCTTCTGCTCCAGTTCCAAGTAGGGACCACCCTTGTTATTCACCAGTGGTTTCACTGGCCACAGGAACAATCTGCAGAGCAGGCTAGTGGAACCTCCCCCAGGCTGAATGGGAAAGAGACAGAGCTAAAAGAAGGGCAGATCAGTGTTCAGGCCCAAGCTTCAGCCCACGTTACACAGAACACCTGAGGCAATATTCCATTCTTTCCTTGGGTCTTCAATTGGAATGTGACTCTAGAATTCTGGGATTCCATGCCTGTGACCTCTCATTTTTTATATTTTCAAAGAAACGACCGGCTTTGAAGGTCATAAGGTCATAGCTGAAAGACTCTTGGATGTCACTGGGTCTTGAAGGTCAGCCAGCTTTCTTGTATTTCAGACATGGAAACTGATTTTTGAGAGACAAATGATGTATTCAAGGTCAGCAGTTAATTACTGATAAAACCAGAACATCCCAGCACTGGGCCCCTGATCAAAACAAACCATTCTGTTATTGAATGGATAAGAGGGAAGCCAGGGAGAGGCAGGGAACTACAAGACTGATTCTCTGCCAAGCAGTTGCGTGCCAGGGTTCCTGCTGGAGCAGCAGCCAGCTCCAGCCTGGCAGGGCTTGGCAGGGGGTCTGCCACAATTGAGTTCATGGCTACTCCTTCTTCCATTTGGATCAAGAGAGGGAACAACTCCCACAGCCTGCCAGGAAAGTGAGGCAGCAGAGGGCATGGGTGAAGGGCATGATGACCATGCTGTCTCCCATGGGCAGCCACCCCGCCCAGTCTTTTAAAGAGGGTGGTGAAAGGCTTTTTGCCAGAAAATCAGATTTATAAAGGCATCCTAGTGCCTGGGAAGAGGAGCCCCAGGGTAGAGAGAGATCAAAGTTCCTTTCTGCTCTACCAGTTCCTTGGAACCCACAAAATCTACAAGCATTGTGGAAGAGGAAAAGCAGAAACAATGGGCACAGCTGGGGCAGGTGGCTGCAAAGCCAGGAATTAGGACCAGCTCCAAGGCTGCCCTGCCCACCGGAAAATTAGTACAGCTCCATTTGGCTTCATCCTTCTCCCCTTGAGGACATGTTTAAAATCAGACATAAAGGAACTTAAAAAAACAACCAAAAAAAGCACTATCTTGGAAATCAGATAAAACTGGCTTCGAAGCCAGGGTTTGCCATTACTTCTGATTGGAAGCAGTTAGTAAAATGAATTAGGTTTCTTGTTCTCAGCCCTGCAAAGACCTGGTAGTCAACCCCTTCCCCAACGTTTTTCTAAAACCTCAACAGGAACCATGGTAGGGGCCAAGAAAAGTAGGAGAAGCCAAATACAAAAGGACTTCAGCAAGATCATGGAAAAATGAATTTTAAAAGATAAGTTTACTTTTGTGCCACAAAAATTTGGAATTCGTGTGTCATTTTTTCATAAAATATGTTTTCTATGAACTTTTCAAAAATAAACTTGTTTATTTGACAGGCACAGGGAATGGGAGACAGAGAAAGAGAATGAATGCTCCCATCTACTGGTTCATTCCCCAAATATCCTCAAAAGCCAGTCCAAGCTGAGGCCTAACTTAGGTCCCAGAACTCAATACATATGGCCCACAGTGATGACAGGAACACAATTACTTGGGCTACCACTACTATTAGCAGGAAGCTGGTATCAGGAACTAGAATCAGGGATGCAATCCTCTTAATATGTGTCTTATCCACCTGGTCAAACACCTGTCCTCCATGACCTTTTGGAAGACCACTCATATTTGTTTTTATTGCATGTTCAAGTGGCACTGGTGTTACAGGAAAGATTCAGCAAGAAAAAATAATGTCCCTTTTGAGGATCAATTAAACTTAGTTCAATTTTTCCTTCTAGACTTTCAATATTCTCAACCAACTGTTCTACTAGAAGATGATCAGGAGCATGGATAGCCAACTCCCAAGCCAATTGAATTTGACATTGCATGAATTCGTAGGTTTCTGCCAGAGTGTTATCACAGCTTTCCTCACTCTCTCAAAAGGAGACTGCAAATAAAGGAAGAAGATGAGGTTAAAAAGACAGAGGCAGAGAAAAATATTCTCTTCTCTATTCTTTTTGGTATCTCCAAATTTTCTTTAGCTCACTAAAATATATCTAGAATAATGCAATTTGGTGTATAGTAACAGGGTTTTATCATTCCTTCCATTTTATAGGCAGGAAATTGGATGCCTAGCAAGGGCAATAAGCTAAAGCCAGGGTCAAGTTTATTAGTCCATTAACGACTAAAGCACAAACCATGGATTGCCATTTCCCAAACTAATGTGAGGAATGGGATTATCTGCGCATTTGTTTAAAATACCTTTCTGCAGGACCAGTTCTGTGGGGCAGCAACTTAAGCTGCCACTTGCAGCACTGGTATTTCATATCAGAGTTCCAGTTCAAGTCCAGCTACTCAACTTCCAATTTAGCTTCCAGCTAATATACCTGGGTAGGCAGCAGAAGATGGACCAAAGACTTCTGCCCTTACCAGCTATGTGGGAGAACAGGATGGATTTTCTGGCTCTGGGCTTTGGTCTGGGCTATATCTGGCCCTATATTCATTTGGGGAATGAATCAGCAGCTGGAAATTCTGTGTCTCCCTCTCTGTGTTGCTTCTTCAAGTAAATAAACAATCTTTTAAAATAAATCCAAATATTCTCTCCCTGCCTCTCCAAGTTCTCACACTATCAATGTAATCTAGATGGAACAAGTGAGGTGAGTAAGGAAATCACCTTGGATATATATTTTAAAGGAATGTCAAAAAACACGGTATCAAGATAAATCATAGGTTATTGCATTTTTAAAAAATTCAAGTTCATGCCAAAAAATTCATGAGGAACAAGATATCAAAAGTCTGAACAAAGACAAGATGAACATCATGGTTACAACAGTAGAGCCTGGGGCAAAATGAAAACCAGGAATATTTATTACTCTATCCTAGTCACAAGCTAATGTCTATCATCATCTAAGTTTGGAAAATTCTGCCCTGGACAGTTGGCCTGCTAGTTCTTTAGGAGACACAGCTGCCTCTCCAGTTTCTTAAATAATGGCTTTTCATTGCTAGCTAGCCTGGAGTAAGATTAATTTAGAAGCCACCTAACCCCCTGGACAGAGACCGGGAAAAGCAGATCTTCAAGGCACAGCCAGATATGAGAACAGCCCACCCTGGGACAGCAGCGCCAAGTATCTGATCTGAGCTCCTGCCCTCCTTACCTTCTCTGTGTCGATGCCTCTGGACATGGACCAAGTGGACACGATATAGTCCATGACCCGCTCACTCAATCCTTTCGGCACCTGGTAGAGCTTCAGGAAGTCCCGGACACTGTTGAGCATCTCATGGTATCTGTTGGTGTTGGCGTACATCTGTTGGAAAATGGTCGTCACGTTTCCGAAGATGGTGGCATAGAGAAGTGCTAGAGGTGAGGAGGAGGACAAGAGACAGCATGTGATTGGTGCCTGATCCTGGAGCCCTAAAGGACCAACCTGTTCAGAGCAGTCCCCAGGGCAGACTGTCCTGACCCTCCCAGGTCAACCTCCTACCTGGAGCCTCTGGGAAGGGGATCCCAAGAAGGTGTCCTAAGAGGAAGCCTGTAGTGCAAACACATTGTGTGGATGGGAAAACGCAAAGCTGCAAAAGGTTGGGGGCAGAGCTAGGGTATAGATGGTGGGGGTTATACTGCTTCATTTTATACATTCTTTGTATAATAATTTTTTTATTCTTTATTTCTTTCATGAGAGGCAGAGTGATGTACAGAGAGAAGGAGAAGCAGAGAGTAAGCCCCCATCCACTGGTTTATTCTCCAAATGCCCGCATTAGTCAACAATGGACTGAGTCAGGCCAAAGCCAGGAGTTGGAAACTTAATCCAGATCTCCCATGTAAGTGATAGGAACTCAATTACTTAAGCAGTCAGTTAGAAGCCAGAGTCAGAAGCTAGAACTAGGAGTCAAATCCAGACCCTCTGACATGGGACACACATCTTAACTACTAGGTTAAATATTTATATTTAACCACTAGGTTTATATATTCTTTTCATTGGCCTGATCTGAGCTATGCCTGGAACCACCCATTAAATGTGTGCCCTTGTGCTTCCCACAAATCCAAATCGATCAGCAAACAATCTTTATCAAGCTCTGCTACATGCCAAACACTATTTTACCTCCCTGGGACAGGATGGCAAATAAGACACTCAGTCCTTCTGCAGTAGGCTGACAGACCTTGAATGCATAATCACAAGTAAACAACAGCAAGTCTGCAGAGGGCAAAGAAGGATGGGTTATCCCCCTTCTTCACTTTCTGCTAAGTCCTTGCTTGGTACTTATGATTACATCTTTGATAAAGCCTTGCTTCGTATTTTCTGTTAATACAACAATCTACTTCACAGTGCTGTGGCCCTGGGGGGAAGAAGCATGGCTTTTACATGATGAGAATAAATTCAGGATTCCCCTGAGACATAAAAACTTGGTCCAATTGTTACCGCTGCATCCCTTATGTTTTTGTCTGCAAGGAGAAGCAGGATATCACAAAACTCCACCTCCTGTCCCTCTTATTTGTTGTCAAATGTTGACTTCAAGGGCCACTGCTTTCTCCTTTCCATCTGTCACCACGAGGGTACTCGTGACTCACTAGGCACATTTCTGGGAGTTTGTGTCACACACCTTTGCAGTAATACCCCTCTTCCTTTGTCTGTTTCCTGAGGATATGAGGAGTTTGAAAGCTGACTCCATTCTCTCCTTGCCATCATATCCCTAGGCTGTAATTCTATCCTAGTACTTACAGAATGTCAAAATAGTAAATTTCACAAGCCTTTGCTTTGATTGTTTTTAATGAGTTGATAAACTATACATGCTTAAGGTATATGATCTGTTAAATTTTGACAAATACGTACACCCATAAAACCATCACTACAATCAAGATAGTGAACATATTTGTCACCTCCAAAGGTTCTGTCATGCCTCTCTGAAATCTTCCAGCTCCCTCATCCCCACTCTCCATCCCCCAGCAACCACTGATCTCTTATGTCCTCCCAGTTGGACTAGCATTTTCCAGGATTTTATATATAAAGAATCTAGTATTTTCTTTCTCTTGAAACATCTTTACTAAAGATGTAATTTAAACATTGTATAACACAGATCCCTGCAAACAAGCTCTCATGCAGAACCTATAACACAGGAGCTAATACCACCAAGTCTCAGCTTCCTTACCTCCCTCAGTCAAAGGAGTCCTTGCCCTAGTTTTTGCTCATTTGTTTACATTGTACATCAACCTCCTACCTAAAATTAGCTCACTGAATTAAAGCAGTGGGATAGTAATCACTGGGACTCTGTTGGTCATTTATTTCTCCAATAGACAGTGTATGGAAATTCCAACAACATATGGGAGTTCCAGACCCAGAGCTGAAGGTAACTGCTACAGGCATGTAACCACAGGCCTTTTGAAGCCCATTCCATTACAAAGAACAAAGCCAGTCAAGAAAGGCCACCAGCATCACAGACCTACCATGAACTTGAACACAAGCTGACCATGCACCTCTCAGAACCCAACTTCAACATATAAGTAACTTTTCTAGGAGCCAAAAGATCAAGTGAGAGGGCACAGCTTCTTGCTCTGCATGGAAGTCACAGGAACTCATAAAATACACATAGATTCTGTCTATCCATCAAATAATCATCCCCATTATGTAAGTTGCATCCTAGAACTAAACCACCTGTCACAATCACAATTTCACGTTGTGATGACGTCTGAAATGTAGTTCTACCGTATCACCATATCATTTGTTTAACAAGTACATTAAAAATTCAGGACCGGGCCCGGCGCGGTGGCGCAAGTGGTTAAAGGTCCTCGCCTTGCACGCCCGGGATCCCATATAGGGCGCCGGTTCTAATCCCGGCAGCCCCGCTTCCCTTCCAGCTCCCTGCTTGTGGCCTGGGAAAGCAGTCGAGGACAGCCCAAGGCTTTGGGAACCTGCACCCGCGTGGGAGACCCAGAAGAGGCTCCTGGCTTCGGATCGGCATAGTATCGGCCCGTTGTGCTCACTTGGGGAGTGAATCATCGGACGGAAGATCTTCCTCTCTGTCTCTCCTCTCTGTATATCCGCCTTTCCAATAAAAAAATAATAAAAATAAATCTTTAAAAAAAAAAAAATAAATAAATAAAAAATAAAAATTCAGGACCATTCCATCGTCACAAAGACCTCCTTTGTGTTTTTGTGGTATCGCACTGACCCCAGTCCCCACAAGAGCAATGGCCTTCTTTAGTATCTCATTAAAAGAATGCATTTAAATAGATTCATTATAATACCATGACTTCTGAGATAGATTTTTTCTTTCTATTAAATGCCACTGAGACCCATACAAGCTGTTGCACATATCAATAGTTCCTATCTTATTACTGACAAATACTCTCCTGCTAGAGGGAATGAATCAGTCATTTCCTTCAGATTATCTTACTGAAGTTTTGCAAAGGGAAAACAAAAGAAGGCAAGATTCTAGGGGTCCATGAAAGGGGCATAAATCTACCTGTAGAGGATTGTAAATGAGGATCAGAAAGGGAGCTACAGTCCTAGGCATCAGGGAGTGTTGTGAACAAAGGAATTCAGACATAGGCAAGACCTGAATAATACAGATTTCAGCTAGCTCCTCTACACTTAAAAAGAACATCACATAATGGGGTGGGAGCTCTGGCCTCCTCCAAGGCAGTAATAATCTCTAGAGCACCCCGACCCCATCCTCCCAGGGTATGAGGGGGTTGCTTTGTTCCCAACAACTCTGAGCCCAACTCAGAAGTCTGTGTGGCAAGTCCTGTCTCAGCTACTTTCTGATCCACAATGGAGCACACTTCACAGGCCAGGAGCAGAGGTTCTTTTCTTAGGATGGCTGCCAGAAAACTAATTTAATCTCAAGTCTAAAACAATACTCACACCAGATCAATAGGGTAAGAATAGCTCTCTCGTCCACAATTTGAAAGCCAGGCAATAAGGCTGAGACACTGACACACCAGCCAGCCAGCCAGCCAGCCAGCCAGCCAATGCAGTGACGTCAAGCCTGGGGCTGCTCCTGTCCCAGCCTGCTTCTAAAGCATTCTCAAAAGGTACAGGTCCTCAAGAGAGACTTATTCAATGATTATGACTACCATGAACTGTCATTACTTTAAAACTGGACAAATAAGCTCTCAATGCTCCTTGCTTGGTTTTATATGTAATAGGATTACATGTTTTATGTGCTGGGAAAGGAACAATTTTGAGATGTTCTAAATTTAATTGCAAAGGCCAGAGGGTGGGAGGCAGGAAGAGACCAGGAAACTCGAAATGCTGACATCCATTGGCTGAAACCAAGCAAATGACTGGTGCCACATTTCTGAAACTGTTAAAAACCCTGATGTAAAAGCCAGATTCCCATACCCACTGCCTCCAAGTTGATGTATAAACTTTCTAGACTACTGACCCCAACAGGTACTTCTTCCTACATACAATCCTCGCTCTGCATGATTCAGCCCCTAAAGTACATCCCATCTAAGTTCAGGGTGAACAATTCACGCTTTCATTCCACCAACTTTTCTTCATAGAAACATGCTCAGTCTCAGTTCCAACAGCCATTTAGCCTGGTTGCTAGATGTGGTCTTAGGTGGATCAAGGCTGAATCCAGGTATCCCACATCGGGGGCAAGAATCCAGTCACTTAAGTCATCATCACTGATACCTCCCAGCATTTGCACCAACAGGAAAATGGAGCTGTGAGGTACAGCTCAGCATTGAGCCCAAGTACTCCGATAGGAGACGAAGGCCTCCTATTTGCTACACCAACCCCTTTTACTTCACAGAAACCTGGGCCTCCAGGGTGTGGAATTACTGATTTATACATTTATTGAATCTTTATAGAAGGCAGGTTATCCTTAAATGTTCAAAACTGAACTAGGAAAGACTGCTGTCACCTCAAGAAGTATGATGTGGTATGGGAAGGAAGGCAATGAGACTGGCATGGTCAAGAATGCAAAACCAGACTGAAGCTCAGAGTAGAGGGAATGCTTCAGTCTGGATTTGCTGAATTATTCCATTTGGGGAAAGACAACCTCTCGATTCCAAGGCAAAATACTGGTTTGGACAAGAGAAAGCTTTTTTTTTTTTAAAGAGATTTAGAATTTTTTTTTTTAAATTTCATTTTATGACAGTTTCATAGGCTCTGGGAATCCCCCAACCCTTCCACAAAGCCTCCCTCCATATTAAATTCCTCCTTATTGTTACAGTAGTACAATTCATAACCAGTCATGATTACTTCATTGTGGGCATGCACCAGATAGAATGCAGCACCTTATTGACCAAATTCAAGTTTCATTGTTCTGAAAGTAGAGCTGGCAGAATATCATCCCCTCCCAAAAAAAGCCACTACACAAATCCAACAATAGGAAGAAACATGGAAATTTACAACATCATGAAGTTAATTAACATGGTACTGAGTTCTCAATGTTAGAAAATACAAGTTCTTAACCACATCCTGTAACTACTTCATTAATTCTCAATTTTAGTATATACACAACCAGCTGCTATAAACCTTAAAATGGTTCTAGGGTACTATTCAATGGTCTCATGTCTATTTTCATTTTTATATTTAGCAGTTTATAGTATTGAAGCATGATTTTTACTGAACTTTGCAAATTTTAGGATAGTCCAAATAGGGTTATAACTCTAACAAACCATATATTAACAACCTGAGGAGTAGAACAGTTTTAGGATGGGTATGCAGCGAAATCTTCAATATCTTAGTGAGGAGTAACTGATCTTTGTGTCCTACCTACTAAGGTATATGGTAGTCTAAGTTGGCTTTTTCCTGTCTGTTCTAAGCTTTTCTTATTAGTCTCTGTGTATCTGATCTAATTTTGGGGGCTCCAGAGCGACCCTGACGGTCATTACAAGAGAGGGTGGGAAGCAAAAGTAAACTTCCTGCAGGACTCGGGAGAGGCGCTTTCTTTGGTCCTTAGTAAGAGATTTAGAATTTTTATGGTATCACTGCAAAAGCTCTTGGTCCTACCCAATTGAAAAAATAAAATCTTATTCCATAGACTTTCGTAAGAATGAGATATGGGGACTATTAGGGAGTAGGGGCTGCAAAATGCATTGCTCCACATTTTAAATTGTTTGTATTTTAATCTGTATGACAAACACACTTGAAGGAGTTAAATGGCCTGATGTTGTAAAAACTTAGTCCCTTCACTGATTTTTTAATCTGATTTCTTGCTCTGCAGAAGCACCAGGTTTTCATTGAATCATTGACTATTTTACTCTTTATTGCCATCGTTGAATATCATGCTCCAATTGTTATGGTTTAATGTTTCAATTTGAGGCATTATGAGTTGTCCCCTGAGAACTGGCCTCTTTCCCTCTCCTTACCTCCCACCGCACTCTCATTTCACATCCCTTTTCCCAGGGGTCTATCCTCCAACATGGGTCTGTCATGGATTTGATCAATATCAGTATTTATATTGTCATGACTAAGAATGGTATTCACATTGTATATGCTGATTATATCCCCTTCTCTCCAATTATTCCTCCTATTCTTAATGGTCAATTTTTTTTTATTTACTTGATTTGCTGTCACTGAATTGACTCCAACGTCTCTTCTAAATAAATCTCTTGCCAATATATTAAAACATTTACTTACCAATTGTTATTCTTTTTAATCTTTCCTGGAGGGTTCTGAACTGCTCCTTGCTAGCTGCAAATTTCCTCCCACCCACATCCTAGGGACTTGCTTCACTTATTCAGGACAAAGTTCCTTATTAGTGCCTCTCTCCTGTTTCTCTTCCCGGTTTACTCCTCCTTCCTCCTCCTTTTTGATGTTAAGACATCATGTAGCAGCTTTTAGAAAAAGGATGTATGGGATCATATTTTTTACATTTTAACAGATTGGCTATTCAGTTATTTGCTTCACTGAGTGTAGAATGGTAAATAAGAGATCACTTTGCTGACCATTTTGGAAGCATTTCTCCAGTCTTCTGCATTTGAAAGGTCAGAACCAGTCACACTCTTCATCTCACATTGGCTTTTCACATATAGAAATTCTTTACATGGAGTTCTGAAAATTAATCACAATGACCATTTTGCTATGGCTCCATTTTTATCTGTTGTACTAGGTTTTCAGCAAGTTTTTTTAATCTGCCAATGTGAGCCCTTTATTTCCAGAACATTTTGATGGGTTATTTCTTTGATAATTTATTCCCCTGTATTTCTCTATTTCCTTTCCTCAAGCTTCCTGTTTTTCAGGTGTTGGATTCCTGGACAGATTCTAATTTTAATTTCTTACTCTTAGCTTTTGATCACTTTGTATTTCTTCAAGGGGCAGTACAGTGGCATAGCAAGATAATCTGCCTGTGGCAACAGCCACTCATAGGACAACCATTCTACTTCCAGCTGCTCCACCTCTGATCCACCTCTGTGCTAATGGCCTAGGAAAGCAGTGGAGGAGGGCTATGTCATCGGGTCCCTTAGTTCACATGGGAGATCCAGAAGAAGCTCCTGGCTCCCAGCTTCAGACTGGCCCAACCCTGGCCATTCTGGCAATTCAGGGAGTGAACCAGCAGATGAAAGATTTCTCTGTCTCGGAGGAGGCTTGTATCCCAACCCTGAAGACTGCCAGATCCTCACCAAGGAGCACCGAGGACTACATCCCAACTGCCAAGGAGACAACGGGGAAATGGAGTGCCTTCAGAGGCCAAGAACTCTGTGGTCACCCACCCCCATTTGGATCTACCACATGGGATAGAAGAAGCCCAACTCCTGCCTTGTAGGATCCAAGGTCATCGTAATGAAAACCAGGAGCACTGAGCTGTCTGCAGAAACAGTAAACTTCCTTCAGAATTACGGAGAGGAGCTTTTTCTGGTCCTTGCCTGGTTCCGACTTTGGGTCCCCACCCTTACTGGCAATGACCATCACGATCACTCCGGAAACCCTTCAAAACAAACAAACCAACCAACCTAGAATAGAGAACAACAAGGAAAGCTTAGAAACAGACAGGAAACGGTCAGCGAGGATGCACTTATAACTCACTGGGTGGGACACAAAGATTAGTTACTCCTCACTAGGGTATTGAAGATTTCTCTGCACACCCCTCCTAAAACTGTTCACCTAAACTGTTGACATATGTCTTGTTAGAGTTATAGAATTAGACTACCCAAAAAACAGCCAGGTTCAGCAAAAATCATGCTTCAATGCTATAAACTGCTAAATACTAAAATTAAAATAGACATGAGACAGCTGAATAGTAATCCATAGCCATTTTAAGGTGTATAGAACCTGGTTGTATATAAACTAATAATTGAAATGTCAATGTAGAAGTCACAGGATGTGGTTCAGAACTTGCATTTTTTTTCTCTTTTAACATATTGGTTACTCAATACCATGTCAACTAATTCCATAATGTTATAAATAGTTACTGATGTAATGTCAGGGCTTTTAATTGATCGGGATGATACTCTGCCAGCTCTACCTTCAGACCAGAGATAGTCTCCCCAAGAAACCGTTGAACTTATCTGGACAATAAGATGCTGGACTTTATTCTTGGTAGATGCTTGCAATGAAAATTCAACTGAATTTGAACTGTGGTAATGCAACAAGGTGGAGGAATCCACCATGGGGGAGGGGAGTGGGGGGTGTGGGGGGAATCCAGTGCCCATAAAACTGTGTCACATAATGCAATGTAATCAATAAAAAGAAAAGATTTCTCTGTCTCTCCCTAACTCCGAGGTCAAGTAAAAAATAAGTTTTTTTATTTTATATTTTTTTCAAATTTATTTTAGGATACAGTTCCAAAGACTCTGAGATGTCCCCTTTCCACCTTCTATTCCCCTTGCCCTACTGATTTTACCTATATTACTACAATAGTATAGTCCTTCAGCAACAGTCATCAGTATGTGGTTTAAGTGTATCTTGATATTGTAGGTGTAAACAATAGCATAAAGTCCAGGATCCTATTGTCAAAATACATTTAATAGTCTTATTGGGAGTCCATCTTTGACTTGGAAGTAGAGATACATATTGCATTGTATCTTCACAGCTCAATATGCTAATCTATTATACAGTTTCTCTAGATGACTATATGTTCATGCATGTTTACCTACAAAAATACAGAATGCTTCACAAATATACATGTCATCCTTGTGCAGGGGCCATGCTAATCTTTATATTGTTCCAGTTTCAATACTGTGCCAAAGCAAGCACAGCAGTTTTTTTTTTTAAAGATTTATTTTTATTATATTTTCATTGGAAAGGCGGATATACAGAGAGGAGAGACAGAGAGGAAGATCTTCCATCCAATGATTCACTCCCCAAGTGAGCACAACGGCTGATGCTATGCCGGTCCGAAGCCAGGAGCCTCTTCCTGGTCTCCCACACGGGTGCAGGGTCCCAAAGTTTTGGGCCGTCCTCGACTGCTTTCCCGGGCCACAGGCAGGGAGCTGGAAGGGAAGCGGGGCCGCCGGAGATAGAACCGGCGCCCATATGGGATCCTGGGAGTGCAAGGCGTGCAAGACCTTAACCACTTGCGCCACCGTGCCGGGCCCAGCAGTTTTTTTTTTTTTAAAGTATTTTCATTTTTAATTTCCATAATATTTATAACTTTAATTTTTTTTCTCAGAATGTTCCTTTTTAGTAGTATTTTGTTCTATTTTTTTAAAATGATTTATTTTTTTTTTTGGAAAGTCAGATATAAAGAGAGGAGGAGAGACAGAGAGGAAGATCTTCTGTCCAATGCTTCACTCCCCAAGCAGCTGCAATGGCTGGAACTGAGCCAATCTGAAGCCAGGAGCTTCTTCCAGGTCTCCTACGCATGTGCAGGGTCCCAAAGCTTTGGACCGTCCTCGACTACTTTCCCAGGCCACAGGCAGGGAGCTGGATGGGAAGCAGGTTGGCCAGGATTAGAACCAATGCCCATTTGGGATCTGGGCACGTTCAAGGCAAGGACTTTAACTGCTAGGCTATCACGCTGGGCCCAGCATTTTGTTCTATTTTATGTATATAATATCTTCTCATATCCTCTGAGGCTTATCGATGATATGGATATTTTTAAAGGTTTCTTCTCTTTGGTTGGTCTTTCCTTGTTTACGTTCATGTTTGTCTTTTACATTGGAAAGACATGGAAATTTGGAGCCAGCATGGTAACTCAATAAGCCAAGACGTTTTCTGTCACATTGTCATACCGTATCTGAGTGCTGATGCAACTCCCAGAAGGTCCTCTTTCAATCCAGATCCCTAATATCCCTGAGAAAGCAGTGGAGAATGGGGCAAACTGGATGGAGCTCCCAGCCCATCCAGCTCCAGCCATTGTAGCTGTTTAGGTTGTTGATCAATGCATAGAAGCACTCTCTTGTTCTCTTCCACACACATACACAAGGAGAGGCTCTTTCCTTCAAATAAATACACTTTTTAAAAGAAATACATATAAATCCTGAAAGGCCTGCTCATTCTTAAAGGTGAAGCCTTAGTGATGAGAATCTTGTGAATGTACAAGTCTTGTCAACTCTGAAAACTCACTTAGGGAGGTCTAGGGCTGTGTTGCAGTTTGAGATGATCCACTTTAGGATGTCCTTTTGGACTGCTGGGGTTCCCTACCTAAGACTCATTCTCCTGTCCAGAGAATGCTTGCAACAGCTGGCAATTAGGAAGGAGAAGGTTGAAGGGCTTGGCTTCCCCAACCCTCTCCCCTGACCCAACCTCTACTTCCCACTGACTGCTGTGTTCCTCTCTGTCCCTCTAGAGGAACTGCAGAATAAACCACCTTTATCTGTAGGGAGTGGGGCAGTGGCACAGACACATGGGAGAACAACTACACCTGGGGTCTAAAATGCTTCTTTAATGTTCAACCAGCCCACCTGTCCTAGTCCCATCTTCACCCTCACTTCCAGAAGTCCTTAACGCTGTTGGGGCTTGCATCTTCCAGGAGTTCTGGAGTAAAGCACATTATTCAGATGTTTCCTGTCACCCCAGAATTCAGCCTCACTGAATCTACCAGTCAATCACTGCTCTCCGGCTTTCTTATTTTTTTTACTGATGTCTCTCTTCTCATCAACTTTGTCTAAATGGATTTGCACCCCAAGGCAATCGTGCTTTGCTGTGGCTTTAGTGGGGTTTCAGGAGGGATCAGATGCAAACATGTGAGCTCAGATAGCTGAGCCTAACAAGAACAATGGTAATGGTTTGCAAAGCCTAGAATCACTAGCTATGGCCCATCTCAGACTGAAAAAATCATTTCCAAGCCTTCAAACTCAAGATCTCAGAGCCAAATAGTAACAATTAATAATAGCCTCATATCTGAGTAGGTGTAATCTCCATCTAGCAGATAAGGAAACTGCAGGACAAGATATGTAAAAACAGTTTACAGCAAAGCCTGCACCCAGGCATGACGTGCATGACTCTAGCACCACATTACATCCACTGAATCACCTGCTTTCAAATGTCTCAGAATCACCAGAGGAGAGGACCTGCAAAACAGTCCTTGGGCCTGGCCTCCATGGTGTGTGGTTCGGCAGGTCTTGAGCAGGTTCACAGAGATTGTGTTTATTTTTTTCTCTCTCAAAAAATTGTTTCACTTGAAAGGCAGAGTTACAGGAAGAGAGAAAGAGGGAGGGGGGATAGGACGAGGGAGAAGGGGAGAGAGAAAAGGAGCTGGGGAGAGAGAAAGAAAGGGAGAGACAGAAGGAAAGGGGAGAGGGATAATAAGAAGAGGGGAGAGAGGAAGAAGGGGAGAGAGGCAAAAAAGGAAAAGGGGGAAGAGGGGAGGGGGAAGGAGAGTGAGGAGGGAGAAGGAGACAGAGATCTACCTACCTACCTACCATTCTTTGGTTCACTCCCCAAAAAATGCCTGCCCTGGGCCAGGCTAACACTAGGAACCAAGAGCTCCATCCATATCTCCACAATGGGTGGCATGGGTCTATGTATTTGGACCATCTTTTCCTATCTTTCCAGGCACGTTGGCAGCAAAGCAGCAAGCCCTCAACAGGGGATCCAATTTGGGATGCCAAGTGGCAGGTGGTAACCTATCTCTTCGCACTACAACACCAGAGAATTCTAGGTGACATTGTTTCTGCTGGAGACTCAGAGGCAGGAACTATGATTTTCCACCTTTTCTTCAAAGTTCTTGTTCGGTCATAGAATATGTTCTCCAACCATGTGAACACAACATTAGTTTGTCACTGAGTCTTCCAAAAGGAGGTTGGTTGGACTGTCCACCAATTACTTTTTCCAGAAAGATCACAGGAAAGGGATGTTTATCTATTTAAAACCTTTTTGGTAAATGTGGACTCAAAGATTTTCTTTCTGTTTCTCGCCTACCCCTTCCTTCAACTCATAACTTGGTTACCCTGAGGCCTCACAGGCACCAACCAGCAAGAACTGTAGGAGTTCAATCTCTGGTTAAAATCAGAAAGCCACTAAATTCCAGCATTCATTAACAATATGCCTTACTGCTACTTATTTTAAGGAGAATTAACTTCTTCGTGATTTTGGCTGAAAAAGAAAAAAACAAAGCTTCTAATCTTCTGATCCTTACCTTCATGTTAGCCAGCCATCAGATGGTGTGAACAGCTCATCAAGTCATGATGCTATGCTGGGGGTATCATTAACACACATCACATTGGCACTAAGAACTCAAGGGCTCTAAGGCACGCTCATTCCCAAGTCATTCATGATTAAGAGAAAATGGGGTCTAAGACAAGGCCAGCTCAACAGTAGAATTTTCCACATTTAACAAAGCAAGCCCAGAAAATCCCTACAGGTTTCTGTACCCACAATGATAAGGAAAGGGTGGTGGCATCTTCAGTTATACTCTCCCAAACTCAAATTCCAGCTCAGCTACTTAGAATAGTGTGGTCAGAGGCCAACTTCCTCTTTTTCCTTGATCACTTTTGCTGGGTGGTGGTGGAAATGAAATCCCATGTGAAAGTTCTCAGAACAGTGAGCTTGGACACATACTCAATGTCTTCCTTTTCAGCCAATTCCCTCAGAGGCAGCTGTCAAGATGACTGCCAGACATCAGACAGCAATTAGGTAAGACAGTAACCTGGAACATTGGCCTGAATGAAGAATACTGCCTTTTAATTGCATAGACCCAGAATTTATCATTAGAACATCGATGTCCAAAAGAAAAAAGGATTTAACCTAGCTCAATATACACAGAGGACTACAAAGAAGTTTCTGAAAATTCGCAAATGATGATAAGTTTAAATATCAGATAAAATACTTTGAAATACTTGTCCTTTGATCCAATCTCCAATTAGCTGAAAAAGCTAAGTCAGGGCCAAGCTGAAGCTAGGACCCAGGAAATCCATCCTAGTCTTTCAGATGCGTGACAGGAACCAACATGTACTTGGGCCATCTTCTGCTGCCTTTTCAGGAGCATTTAACCAACACCTGGATTGGAAGCAGAGCAGCTGTAAGTGGAAGTGGCACCCATGTATAACCAGCTATGCTGCAACACCAGCTCCCTGACTGAATTTTTGATGAGCTGCTCATCATGAAGATGAATATGGAACAGTTAGAGTATGTGGAAGACCAGTCTTAATTCCAAACCCATTTTATGTGGTCCACCAACAGCAACATTTTAATTTTGTGATGCCGAAACATGTTTGGTTTTCACTGCTGTTTCTGCCTTTGCTTCCTCTAATATCATTATGGAAAGGGTGTGAGACTAATGTTTACACTGGCATGGTAACTGGTAACTAACTTTTGAATTTTTATTTTCTAAGACTTGAAATCTACAGCTAGGAAATTATGAAAAAAAAAATGGGTAGCGAAAATGGGAAGAAAAAGTAACTGGGGCAGGCATTTAGTGCTATGAGCAAAATGTTGCTTGGAATGCCTCATCCTGTATCAGTTCCTGCAGCCCACAAGAGCCACCCAGACTGAGTTCCCAGCTCCTAACTTCAGACTGGTCCAGCCCTAGCTGTTGTGGGTATTTGGATAACAAACCAAAGGATAGAAGATCTGTCTTTCACATAAGATGAAGATTGACATTTTTTTCACAAAGTAGTTACTACTCACTGCCATGCCAACTAATCAATCCAGCAAAGAGGGAGGCATGGGAGCCTGAAAATTTGAGCTAAGGAGACAAAAGCTGCCATCTGGCATCCTCACTCCACTACCAGCCTCAGGATAGCCATTCCATTTCCCTCCCCCCCAACGGAGTTAAAAATCATCTCACAGGTTTACTCTTTTTAAAGTGGCATAA